ACATCTGTTACAGGTTTTAACAGCATTGTTGAGTTTTTCTCATTAGCTGCTGTTCTATGCAGCTTCATGTGGGACAAGTGACAATGACGGGACTAAAACTATAATTTTTCAGCTTGATGAACACTAATCAGTGAAAATCCTCTCCTACAATGTGAATAATATTGTGGCTGCACAGAAAAGATGAAAAATATTAAACAAGTTCAAAAAGGAAAAGGTCCACACAGCACTCCTCCAAGAGATACATGTCAGACAAGGAACAACAGAAATTAAAACGGAGGTATGAACAAGTTTTTACATCATTGGATAAAGTTTAATATCACAGCATGAACGTTATTAACACTTATCCTATAGGAAAGACAAAGAGGGTACATATTGATTAAGAGAAGGACTGATGTTTTTTGGTGACTCTCTTCAACATATACACACCTCCTGGGAGTGAGTGGAATTTTTACAAACAGCCGTAATATGTGGGGGTGATGTTAACATCAGATTATCTAAATTAGACACTTCAGGGTCAGGTTTACAACAAAAACTACTTACAAAGAAAATAAACTCCTGTATATTATGAAGGAAACAGGAATTATTGATGTCTGGAGAGACTTCTACCCCTCCAGGAGAGATTACACTCACCTCTATAAAAAGAGTGAAACATCACTCCAAGCCACACTGAGCAGTCACACCAGGAAGTAGTGTTTAGCTGTAACAACCCTTAATCAGTTAGTTGCACACTTCTGTGCGGTTTGGAGAAGCAGAGCTTACATTTAACAGGACTGATGAGCTAGTGGCTAGTCCAAACACAGCCAGGATCTAAGTGGACTGCCATCTTCTGAAACAACTCAAGTCCCAGAAATCTCATGGGTGTTTAAGCAAACACCATTTTAGAGGCCGACAGTCCATCACCATCCCTGCACGCTGCTTGACATGAAATTCTTAGACTTTCAGTGTGAAGCGCAGCAGCAGCCTCGGAGGCTTCCTTCTAAATTTAGCAACATTTACGTTGTAGTAATCGTGAAGCGCAAAGCAGACAGCCGTGTAAAAGTTTACGAAACAACGTTTTTATGAACAGCTATGACATTTTAAAGATGGGAGTCGTTTTAGGACGGCAAAAT